TTTTTTTTTTTTATGCAGGGTTGTGGGGAGGGAAAACCAAACAAGAAGAAACCACTTACATTCCTTCATCCTGCCCACCCCCAGGGTGTTAAATGGGTGGCTGCAGGTGTAGATCTGCTGATGTAATTTTTCCCAGCCTGACCCCTGGTGTGTGGAAGGAGGCAGTGGCTGCAGCTCTGGCGCTGCCCTACCTCAGGGGGAGAGGCAGTGGAAATGCTGCACCTTTGGGCTCACCCTGCCAGGTGAGAACACAAGGTCTGATTGTGTTCAGATGTTTGCCTTGGGCGTGATTGGAGCCTGTGGGTGTGGAAGAGGCAGAGGGTTCCCGTTCCCTGAGCAAGAAGAGGCAGAGGGTTCCCATCTGTGTGTCCATCGCTTGTGGGAGCGAGTCCTCTGCATYACAAGAACGTCCTCTTTGCTCCTGGGGTGGGGCTCATTGGGGGGTGGCAGGGGGTAAATCCACACCTACAACTTGCTCTGTCAAAGGGATGCTGCCCCAGCTAATATCATGTGTCAGAGGAATTCCTTGTTCAGTACTCTATTGGGCTGTGTAATTAATTCTAGTTTAAATGATCTTAAGTGTGAGATCTACCAACCCAGTGTGATCTTCTCCGTTATTTATTCCATTTGGTGCGATCCACCCAGCCTTGGTGTTGAAATTAAACTGGTTGAATTCACTTTTCATTCCTTATTTTTGCTTTATTCTCCAGGCACCTGCTTGGTGTTTGTGTTTCAAATGTGTATTTAAATTAATTAAAAAAAAAATTTGTTTTTAATGTTTAAAAGAAAGCCACCTCTGTTTCACTGTTCTTAAGTTAGGTTTTCGTGAACCTTGTATGTTGAGGGCCTTCTTCATTGACGCATCCTTTTTCTCTTTGAAAAAGTTGTTCTGTGGCTGATTTGTTACTTGTCACTTTGCATATGTGAATAWTTTTTTTTCTTTATTTTTTTTAATGACTTCTCTCTGTATCTGGGAAGGAATCTGTGCAAAGGCCATGATAGATGTCTGTGCTCTGTGTAGTGCTGTGATGCTGCTCTTACTCTGGATTTCTCTTGGGTGGATTAAAAGAGAAAGATTTATTTTATTTTTTTCTTTAAGGTGCCCCATTCCTTGCTGCTTTTTGATTTACAAAAAGGGTCCCCAAAAGAGACTTTGCTGATAAAAGTTGTAGGGTTTCAGGTTGCCTTTCTGCCTGCAAGAATTGTCCTCTGAAACTGAGTGACTTGTGGCTGCAAGGATGTGCGTGGAGTGCAGGTTTGTATGGTGGGGTTAAGTTTGGAGGAAAATTTGGTGCAGTGAAAGGCTGAGCTTCAGGGAAAGCTCTCCTTGTCCTTTGGGATCCTTTTAGAAACTTATTTGTAAAACTGACTCTTCCTCCTGAAATCTTCACCTTTTCCCCCACCRTATTGGAGCTGGTGACTTTAATGAGGCTGACTTTTAGCTTCCTGGACATGTCCCTAAGTCAGCAGGACCTGGGAAGGTGGCAGGGGATAGCATGGGACAGGTACCTCCTCCTCCCTCAGGCAGGCAGGATCCTGCTTGAAAAAAAAAAAAAAAAAAAAAAAAGAAAAAAAGTTTAGTATGGAAGAATTCCCACAGCTTAATTAATCACTTATTAACTGAAACAGCTCTGCATTGATTGCAGCATTGAGGTATACAAGTAAATAAACACTTCTGCTCCCCTCCCTGCAGCTGCCACTTGTCCCTGGGGCAGGAGCCACCAGACAGCACAATTCCTTGTTCATCCCACAATTCCTTGTTCATCCCACCTGTTCCTCTGGCAGAGGGCCCTTTCCACTCATGCCTTGTCCATGTCAGCCTTGTCCCTTGCTCCCACCCTGCCCTGGCTCTTGCGGCTCCTCTTTGGGTTTCATGGCTTTCACTGCCCTTAAATGCATTTTGCTGCATCTGCCGTGTGCCCCTGTCCTGGATTCAGGTGTTTGGCTTCTGGAATTTCCTGGAACAAAAGGATGAAATTTCCTAAAACCCTGTGGGGAAATTCCTATGAAAGAAGGGGAAAAATTCGGGCAACTAATAGGGGAATTCTTTGTACACAAAGGAAAAACCATTCTAGAAAGTTAAATATCCTGGATAACAAAGGGGAAATTTTCTGCAATGTAGGAATTTCCATACATGTACTAGGGGTAAGTCCTTGAAAGCAAAGGGGGAAATACTCTGGGAATTCATAGAAAGCAATGGGGGAATTTCCTACAAGGCTATAGGGAGGATAGCCTGGAAATAAGAGGAGGGAAATCCCTCAAATACCTGGGAAACTCCTGAACAGCAAAAATGACATTTTGGAAGAAAGTAACAGTGATATTTCCTAAAGGGGAAATTCCCCAGAATGCAAAGGAGGAATTGGTGGAAAGCAAAAGGGGAATTGCCTGGTTGGGAAATACTCCCTGGGAACCACGAAATTAACAGTCATGGGGAAATTTCCTAGGAAAGCAATGGAGATCCGCTAAGTAGAGGGAAGAATCCTAAACAGCAATGGAGGACTCTAGAGAGCAACAAAGACATTTCCCGGGAAGGAAGGAGGAAATAGCCTGCAAAGTGACTGGGAAATCTCCTGGAAAGCAACAGTCGATTTTTTTAGGAAGGAAGTGGGAAATTTYTTGGGAAACAAAATGTTTTGAAAAACCATGTGGAGTATCTAGTAGGCATCAGGGAGAAGTTCCTGGAAAGGAGAAATTTTCTCAAAAACAAGACAGCACAGACAGAAAGAGGCAGCAGTCCATGCTTCAGCCCCACTGACCCCTCCACCCCGTCCTGATCGTTGAGTAAAGAACTCGAAAAATCTGTCAGGGTGTTTGGGTTGTTTTTACTGCTCCCCGCTGAGCTCAGAGGGGCTCCGGGAAGAGCCGGGCGGGCGCTGTAGCTGCCCGTGACCCATCTCCTGTCCTGGGCATGGGCTGCTTCGCCTCTGCTTCGGTGCCGAKCGCTGTCCACCGCACTTCGGCCCTTATTGATTTGTGTTTTTTAACAGCACGGCCTTAGCGTTCAAGCCAAGGCCGGCGGGAGAAGGATTAAAACAATCAACTGAACGTAGCCCGGAGTTTCCAGCCCCGGGAAGTCCCGGCGGGAGCGGGCACGGCCGAGCTCCAGCGCTCCCGGTGTCCCACGCTCAGGTTTAGGTCCGGTTTATTTACTTTAATAATTAAAATTCCCCAATTATTTAATTATTAGATTATYCCGCAATAGTCTGGGGAAGGGATTGCGCGGGCTGCGCAGCGACGTCCCCGGGGCGGGAGCATCTCCCGGGAGCGGCCGCACCGCCCCGCCGAGGGAGCGGCGGCACTTTCACTTTCGGAAGGGACACGTGATTTCCAGGAAAACGAGAGTGGGCGGATAAAGGACCGGGTAGGAGGTGGCCTCTCCCTGCACCGAGTTTACCGTCCGGCACGGCGCGGCACGGCACGGCACCATGGCAGCGCCGGACAAGGACGGGTAAGTGGAGCACAGCCCCGCCGGCTCTCCCCGGGTTGCTGTCCCGGGGTGGTCCCGGTCCTCCGGTGACGGCCCGCCGCCCGCAGGGAAGCCCAGAAGCTGCGGTTCGGGCAGTGGCTGCTGAACGCCATCAACAGCGGGAACTACCGGGGGCTGCGCTGGATCGACCCTGCCCGCACCACCTTCCGCGTCCCYTGGAAGCACAACGCCAGGAAGGACATCACCAGCAGCGACCTGGAGGTCTTCAAGGTGGGTGGGATGAGTGTCACCAGCAGCGACTTGGAGATCCTCCAGGTGGGCAGGGTGGGGGTCACCAGCAGGACTCTCAGGCTCTTCGAGGGGGGCGGGAGAGGATGGTGACCAGCAGGAAGYTGAGGTCTTCAAGGTGGGTGSGATGTGGGAGCTGTGAAGGTGGGGGAAGAGCAGTCATCCCTGAAAACCTCCATGGCCATGGAGCCGGGGACCCCATGCTCACCCCTGCACCCCCAGGGCTGGGCAAAGGCCAGTGGACGCTATGAGGAAGGCTTTGAGGACCCGGCCAAGTGGAAGACCAACTTCCGCTGTGCCCTGAGCAGCACCCAYTTGTTCAAGCTGGAAGAGGACAACTCCAAGCGTGGTGATGACCCACACAAGGTCTTCTCTGTTGTCTCAGGTGAGCCTCGCCCAAAGGAGGAGCTGTGTTGGGTGGGGTGAGTGATCTCAGGAACACTCACTCCATGTGCTCTCCTTTCAGCCATCCTCCAGCCCAGCAGGGAGGGAGATTACAGCATYGCTAACCCTGTGGTGGAGCAGCAGCCAGCACAACAGCAGCTGCRCATAGCTGGGTGTGCACAGCAGGTTAGGGGGGTCCTCGCTGCCACTCCTCAGGCATTGCACCTCCATGTCCTTGGAGTGCTCCCAAGCTGCAGCCCAGCACCCAGCCAAAATGTGGGCTGGGGGAGACTGGGTGCCTGGCCCCCASAGCAGTAAGATCCCATTCTCCTTCCCTTCCCAGCTGGAGCTTGACCCCCAAGACATGGCCTCAGCAACTGCTCTCCCAGGTAAGCACTAGTCCCACAGTCTTTTTTTTTTGAGGGGGGGGGGGTGGTGGGTAACATGCCAGTAGGCTCAGCTGGGGCTGATTTTTTGGCTGTGAGACATCCCAGTCACTGTGTTCCCCCTTAGGAAGCATTGACCCTACACAGCTCTCGATTCTGGAGGGGCTGCTGCAGCAGTGTGAGATCTCCCCCTCTAACCTTGGCTCATCCTGGGTGCCCACAGGTGAGACCAGCCCTGCTTGCGGGTGCAGAGTGGGTGCCCGCGGGGGAGGGTGATCCCAGCACCTTCACACAGGTGGTTTCCCTGCAGGCGACACTCCCCACCAGGACATCGTGTTCCAGCTGCACCAGGACACCCTGCTCCAGCCTCACCAGGACACCCTGCTCCAGCCTCACCAGGACACCCTGCTCCAGCCTCACCTGGACATCATGCTCCAGCCCCACCAGGACCCCCTGCTTCAGTCTTATGCAGACTCCAGCCAAAACAACTGCTTCCCTGCCACGGCATTTCCGCAATGCATGCCCACGGTGGAGCAGCCCACCTTGGCCACCTACCACCCGCCAGGCCTTATGCCACCAGAGGAGACAGGTGGGTGCTGCGGGGCAGGATCCAGCCCTGGCTGTGGGAATGCTATAATGGGATGGGAGGAGGCCAGGGTGCTGCCATGGGCACYCCATGCCAAAGCAGCCCCCATCCCACTGCATCCAGAAAGGCGATGCCAACGTTGTTCATCTTCCACTGCAGGGGCCATGCCACCGCCGTGCCACGTGACAGAGGGCACGGTCCCCATGCAGTACCCGGCACAGGCAACGTTCTATGTCCCTGCCRCCAGCCCTGCGCCACAGCCACGCCTGCTGGTGGGTAATGCAGGTGAGGGTTATTAATTRCTAACAGCTATAAATTATTGTTATAATTGCCGACAGTAAGTAAGCTTAGAGGCTGGTTTGGAGGGGGGGAATATTTCAGTTCGGAGGATGTGGCTGCTGATCGCTTTCTGGTGCAGATGACACKGTCTTCAGCCTGGATGTCACCATCTACTACCGGGGGAAGCTGTTCCACCAGGAGGAGGTTGGAGGCAGCCACTGCCTGCTGACGTACCAGCCCTGCAGCCTGCCACAGGCACCGTGCCCCCTGCAYGTGGTGCATTTCCCCAGCCCCGCCGGCATGGCCGACCGCAAGCAGCGGCGCATCACCGAGAAMCTGCTGCGCGTGGCGGGGCTGCAGCTGGAGCAACGCGCCCAAAAGGTCTTTGCCACCCGCCGGGAGAAGTGCAAGGTGTTCTGGGCCTTGTCCCAGCAGCTTGAGGGGGTCGAGGAGCCCCCTCCCAACCTGCTTTGCCGGGACCAGGAAACCCCTATCTTTGATTTCCGTGAGTTTTGCACAGGTGGGTAGGGCTGTCACATCCTTCCCCATGTGTTGTTTCCTACCCAGCCTGGTTTTAGGGCTTGTGGGAGCCAGCCTGAGGATGTTACAGGCATCCAAACCCTCCCAACCACCCTGTTCCCCCAAGCTCACCCCAAAACTGAGCCCTGTTTTGCCTTGCAGAGCTAAGGGACTTCCGTAATGGCCAAAGGCGGCGATCCCCTGACTTCACCATCTACCTCTGCTTCGGGCAGGCCTTCTCCAAGGCCAAGCCTAAGGAGTCCAAGCTCATCCTGGTCAAGGTGCAGTAGCCAAACCCACCACTATCCCACCGCTGCCCAGGGAAGGGGGGAGACTCATGGAGGTGGGGKAGCTGAGACTCTGGGTGCCTAAGCAGGGGAACCCTCGAGGCTGAGGAGTGTGGGAGATGGAGAGTCTGGGAAGAACCTGAAGAGGGACCTTTGGGGACTGAGAGGTGGGATTCTGGGCACCCAGGGATGAGGACTGAGAGGTGATGGAGGGGTAATGGAGTTTCCTCAGGGTCTGGGCAGGGGGAGCCTCAGGCACCAGGGGAGATGAGTTCTTGGGTACACAAGGGAGGAGACTCTCCATGTGCAGTGGAGATGGGGATCGGGGAGCCCTCGAGATCTGGGGCAGATGGACATCTGGATACCCAAGGAGGAGGTACCTTGGGGGGCTGAGAGAGGTGGGAGAACTGAGTGACAGGAGAGGAGGACACTTGGAGACCTGGGGAGCTGCATGACCAGGGAGGGGACACTTGGGAACCAGGGCAAACATAGGGCAAGGGTGGGCAGCTGCCTGGGCCAGGGGACATTMGGGGTCTGGGCGTGATGGTGTGGAAGGCAGCTGCCCAGGGATGGGGACCCTCAGAGCTGGGGAGACAAAGGGTACCCCAGATATCTCCTCCCTGCACTCCAGGAGGACAGGGCCACGCATGGTGTTGCAGCCATGTCAAGCAGCTGCCCCTAACCTGCCCCTAACCCCGATGTTTTGCCACTGCAGCTGGTGCCCAAGCTCTGCGAGTACTTCTACGAGCAGGTGCTGCAGGAGGGAGCCTCCTCCCTMGACAGCCGCAGCATCAGCCTGCAGCTCTCCAAGTCCTTCGATCTCATGGAGCTCATCGAGCAGTACAACATGCAGCTGGGCTGATCCCCGCTCCGCATGGCCACCAGCAGCAGGACCACTGGCCATCCCAGGCTCTGCCAGCCAGCATGCCCAACCCAACAACAGCTTCACTGACCAGTGCTGGAGCTCACATGTTGCTTTTCCCCTCCGTCAGCTGTTAGTATGTGTTTTTGTGAGTCACTTACAGATTTATTTTCTCAATTTTTCCAAGTTATAATATATGTATGTATAGAAATGTAGTTCTCTCCTGCTGCTGTTGCCTGGAYATCTGCCTCTGCTATCAGTCTGAAATCTTTGCCCTTCCCCTGTACCCCCAAAACCCTCGGAGTCCATGCCCAGCCTTTTAGCAATGTCCCTTCCGGCAGGGGCAGGCTGCTATGGGAGAGCTTATCAGCACCTTCTTCCCCTTACATTTGAGCAGGTGAAGTGGCTTCCCACAAGTGAAGGGATGTATTTATCAACGCGTTTATTTGCATGCATTAAAGGCTACAGACATAACTGGCAAGCAGAATTAGTTGAGGACAGCTTGGCTTGGGCTAAACAAAAGTAATTCTTCGTTAAGCACCGGCCCAGAGTTACTCACTGGAGATGTTCTGGAAAAATAAGGCAGTAACTACAATGTGAAGCACCCAGACCTCAGCTCAGAGGTGCAGAGTGGGTGGAATCTCAGGGAGTACGAAAACCAGAAGGCTGCCTGAAGATGGGGTGTGCTCTCCCCAAGCAACTGCACCCCCTCATTTCAGGCACCTGACCATCACTGTTGGGTCCCTGGGCAAGGGGAGGGGGCAGTGTCCTTACCTGCCGAGTGACCTGGATGCTGCTGGGCCCAAAGGTGGTGGTCCCGTAGCTCGTCACGTAATAGTGAGCAGAGGGCTGTGCTGGGGGCTCCTCCAGCTGCCTGGGAACTGTGGCAATGGGACACCTTAGCACCTCAGCTCCAGGAAAYCCTCAGCCCTCTTTCCCTCGAGCGCTGCCAGAGTACCAGCTTGGGGCACTGGGCTCACCTTTGGGCAGGAGCAGCTCTGCACCAAAACGGTGCCCACACGTCCCACAGGTTTTAACATCTTCTTTGGTCCTGAGAAGGAAAAGCCCAGGAAAAAGGAGCAGGAGCTGCCCTCAACGCTTCCCACAGAAGGTGATGCCAAGGCAATGGAAGAGGCTTCCCATCCACCCCGACCTGAGGTGCTGCTATTGGTGGGACAGCCGCTGCCCTCCCAGGTGCCTGAGCACATTCAGCTCTTCATGAAACGGGGACATRTGGGCACGTGTCCAGAGTGAACACGATGTGCCTGAGCCCCAGAGTCTCAGCTTCCTCACCTTTCCCTCCACGCTTCAGTTTCCCACATCAGTCAGTGCTAACACCACGGGACACGAGCTGCCGTTTCTGGAGCAGGGCACTATRGTGCCCGGCAAGTTTCAAGACTGATTTCATGTGGCTTTTAGAAGCTGACCGGCCCCTCCAGCATTGCAGTAGTGACCACCTGGGTCCTGCCCTCGCTTGGAAGGGCACAGCGTGTACGTACATGGCACTGGTGCCGTCCATGTCCGGCCAGAGGAGCTCTGCGGGACAGCCGCCTGTTCGGCAGGGAGTCTTCACACACGTGTGCAGCCCCGGCCACTCCTCGGCGAGCTTCTGGATGATGAGCACCACTGCCACCAGGAAATCCCAGGCAACCTGGAACCCTTCCAGGCAAAAGGAGAATGCCTTGCTCACTTACAGTCACCAACCGCAGGCCAGGAGATRCTGTGGTGACCCACACATCACTTCCAGCCCACAGCCTCAACTGCTGGACCAGCTCCATTTCTGCAGTTAACCAAGCCTTCATAAGGAATTTAATGATATATTGGAAGAGCTCCCCAACTCAGGTGGCCCTTTTGCTTATCACTTGAAGATCCAGCCTTAGACTGTACTCTGCTGGGGCCTTCTCAGGAAGGATGACCCATTTGCTCCATGACAAGAATGAARACTTGACTTCCCATTTTCATGTGATACTTCTAGAGACATCCTGAACAGAATTGCATGGAGAAAGGGGAAATGTTCGAGTGAACTGCTCATGGACCCAGGCCAGACTAGGAGAGGCAGCAGAGGCTTCTTGGGACACTTCCCAGAGGGCTGCAGGTGGCAGGGGCGGAGTTAAGGAGAGAAATAGGGCTGCGAGTCATGAAATATGCRTCAGGGATTTTACCTGTCCTTTCTGATGGCTTTCTGCAGCGGAGTTCCAGGTAGCTGTAGGCCCTCTGGTTGTTCTCTTTGATCAGCAGAGGTTTGCCATTGCACACAAGCAGGCAGGTCACCTTGGCCACCCAGTGTGTGGAATAGAAGGAGCAAGCTTTCACCAGGAACCTGTGAGRAGATTGCCCATGGCTTTCACCACGTTTCTCCTAGCTTAACCCTAGCAGAGTTAAGTGCGGCACCAGGTGGATTTGAAAATATTAACCCAGTTTCAGTAAGAACAGAGGCAGACACCAAATGAGGACCTTCCCCTATCAAAAACTTGAGGAGCAGGAGCAGCCTCTTAAGCCAAGAGACCCTTCCAGAGTTGGCCATTTTGTCCTGGTTTTGTCCAGGACAATTTCCTTCCTAGCAGCTGGTACAGTGCTGTGTTTTGGATTGAGGATGAGAATGATGTGGATTATGCACTGATGTTTTAGTTGCTTTTGAGCAGGGCTTACACCAAGTCAGGGATTCCCAGGTTCTTGGGCTGCCCTGCCAGCGAGGAGGCTGGGGGTGCACAGGAAGGTGGGAGGGGACACGGGCAGGACAGCTGACCCCAAATGATCAAAGGGTTATCCCATACCCGGTGGCATCATGCTCAGCATATAAACGTGGGGGAAAGCTGGCTGGGGGACCATTGTTTGGTTAAAGGCTGGGCATGAGTTTGTTGGCGCTGAGAATGGTTTTTTTATTTTCATCACTTGTTCTTGCGTTTTATTTCTCTCTTCGTTGGTTTCCTTTCCATTTCCTTTCCACAATATTATTATTGCTTTTACTGTTGTTATTATAWTTTTTTTTCAACTATTAAACTGTCTTTATCTCAACCCATGAGTTTTCTCACTTTTCTGATTCCCTCCCCAGTCCCACCGGGGGGTGGTGAGAAAGTGGCTCTGTGGTCCTTGGTTGCCAGCTGAGGTTTAACCACAACACCATCAGATAAAACTTAGACACAAGATCAGAAAACCAGAAATTCCAAAAACTGGTACAGTCCCAATGCCCTCAGAAACTGGAACATTCTTGGGTTGAGACTATGAGACCTCTGCCTGCAGGATGGGCACAGATTAGCCAAACACCCCCCAAGATGAAAGGTGAACTGGAAGGAGCACAGCCTTTGCTCACATCCAGGCAGCAAACATCACAAGGGTTCATCCAGGGCTCCACACATGCATGGCACAGCTGAGAAGCCGCTCTGGTATCCTGACTCTCAGCCTCAGCAGATGAAGTCTCAACAGCCAAGGACATGCTGACAAGTCATCCTGGCACTGCATTGAGCAAACTCAATCTCACCACCTCATCGAGGGCTGGAAACCAGTGCTTACCTCTGGAAGAAGCCCTCAGGTATTTCAGGTGAGAAATAGGCACGGATGTGGAGGTCCTCRGGGTGATCTCCTCCCCACACCTCAGACACTTCCTCTGTCTGGTTCAGATAGGTTGGGAACAGGTACCAGGACTCGCTGTGGCTCCGTGTGGTCTCCCAAGGCTTGCCAGGCACAAACTCACTGGCCTGTGGGTTGAGCGCTTCGGTGTTCCTCACCTCCAGGCAGAGCTCAAAGTGCTCCAGGAGGCTGAAGAGCTTCCCTCTCCCTCTGTGAGGCCTGTGTCCCATGATTTCCTCAAAGACATCCCGCATCCCTTCCGAACAGAGCTGGTGCTTCACCAAGGCACGCACAGCCTGGTGGCACAGCATCGCCTTTGCCTTGAAGGTCCACACCCAGTTGGCCCTGTCTCTGATGGTGGCGTGTTCCCCAATCAGTGTCTCCACAGAGATGTTCTCCAGCTGCTGGACGAGGCGGTAGCGCACCAGGAGCTGCACGGGAAGGGAAGGACAGATGAGGTGGCAGTGAGAGGAGCCCAGYAAAGCTGCAGAGCTTGGGCTCTGCAGAGCAGATGGTCCTGATCCCCACACTCACCTTGAACATGGTTATTAAAAAGGTAGGCTGGAGAAAGACCGTGCTCTCCAAGTGCTTGATTTCCTCATACCACACGACGAGCCCGATGCGGTGGAGGTAGCGCAGGATGTCCTGGAGGAGCTCCCTGCCCAGGCTGGCCAGGTGCTTGTGCTGGGASAGTTTGCTGAGCAGGTACTGGAGGTCCATCATGCCTAGAGCGAGATGCAGGAGCTCAGCATGCATCCATGGATTCCAAGGCAGATGGTTCAGAGAGCCAACAAGCACCAGCAGCGTCCCATGCCACCCGTGCCATCCCTGGGGAAGCAGCTGGGATTGGAGCGATGCTCAGTGGTGGTGACCAAAAACCTTCTGCCTCTCCTCAGCTGTCCCACTGCCACCCTGCAGCACCCACAGCCTTGCCTCGCCTCAGCAATGGTGTTATTCATGGAGATGGCAGTTTAAAATTGATTTTTGGTTTTTGTTTAGRTTTTTGGTAAGTAGTAGTGAGTTTATTAGGGTGACTAGTATTCTAGGACTCAGTTTCGTGCCTTAGTTTTTTAAYAATAGTTGMTTAGGTTYAATATAAAATGAATTATTGYTTATTAGATATAAGAAAAYAACAGAGTAAGGGGTTTGTGGTAAATTATATATTATACAGAAATAAATTATTAGTAGATTAAGTATAGTAGTTTAAAATGTAGATTAAAATAAAATTTAAAATGCAGCRYRCAATAAAGGTATTTGTGAGTTCAGTKAGTAAMGAAATAGTRTAAYTTAGGATTTTATGTATATTTTACTAATTTAATTAGTGGTGGGAGTATACATTGAAGTCTTTTCTCTCAACCTTTGGAGAAGTAACTCAAAGCCTGCCTCCAGACTTTGAGGAGAGGCTTTCACACACTCTTACTGTGTATGTGAGAGGTTTTTGTTTTTTAGAAATTTTGTGTATTTTTTATAGAGTAAAATTGTGGTAGGTTGGAGWRTTTGATGGAATTAGTGGTATTATTCTTTGGTTTTGTTTTTAAAATAGTTAATCATAAGGTTTTGTTGSGGTGGTTGGTATGTTATTTAGTAATATTAAGAGTRTTGATTTGTAAGTATAGAAATGTAAACAGTGTTGTAATTAATATTTTTGATTATAGTAAATTTATTGGTTGGTGTGCAKTTCYATAGGTTTTTCTSTGTGTGGAGTTGGTATTATTTGTTTAGGCGTTTAGGAAGTTCTGAAGTTTTTGGAGTTGTGTAGTAAAGAGTTTGGGTTTTTTTGTTGTTTAAGTGTTTTTTTRTTTCACRCTTGGGGTATGCATTTAGTCTYTTGTTTGGTGAGGATATTCTTAAATATTTAAGGTTATTAAAGAAACTAGTAGAAYTTAAGTAATGATTATATGCTTTGTTTTGTTAGCAAGTTATAGTAGCGATTTTTTTTTTGGTTTTTAGTTGTAAACACGTTGTTACGTTTACCGTTGTATGGGGGCGGTGTAGGAACGGCTTGCGAGGCATTGCTGGGGAAACAGGTTTTATTTAGGGCAAGACCAGGTTTGTCACAGAGACAAGAACAGTCTAAAACATGGGGAGTATTCATTGGGAGTTGATTTTGTGTTGGTGGTCATTAGAATTAGTAGCTACTCAGGCCATGGGTTTTCGAGTGTTTGTTAGTGTCATTGGTATAATTTTAATTTGGGGTAGTTTTATTATAATTGGTTGGTTTACTGTTAAATTATTTTGAAAAGTTTTAATTTTGCTTTGTGGCATTGTTTTAAAAGATATAGGGCTCAGGAAGGTTCGTGAGGCCAGGCTTTTTATTATTTTATATTTGTTATTTATTTAATATAGTGTAGAGGGTATTTTWAAATTTTATTTATGTTTGTGTGGTTTAAGGTAATGTTTTAGTAAATTATTAGCATGTTCTACAATTTTATTTGTTTGGGGATAGTAAGGTGTATGGAAAATTTGATTTTTTTTTTGTTTAATGTTGGACTGTTACGTTGGTGAAGTGTGATTTATTGTCATTCTGTATAGAGTTTGGGATAGGAAGACTAGAAAACTATTCATTGAGTTCTGAGTGGTTCCTGTATTAGTATGTTTTTTTTTAGTGGTTTTTAATAGTTTAGATACAACTTTTATACTTYTTAATATGTATTTGTAATTATTRGATGTTTTTAGGGGTCTAATGTAGTTTATTTGTTAGGTTGACTAAAGTGTTTTATTACTTTTAATGTGTAGAGGTGGTTTGTTTGAGTTTTAATTGACACTGTGGACACTGTGTGAGAATATTTTTATACTTTTTTTGGTTACTGGTTAGCCTCTGCTTTGCGTTGTAAAAAATAGGGTTTTTTGTTTAGTATGTTTTAATTTACAGTGCAATTACTCATTCAATTGGTATTAATATTGTGGTTTTCTAATTTTTTTTTTTTATTTTTGTTAGTTGATTTACTTTGTTGTTTTAGTAAGTTTGTAAGGTTCGGTTATTTGTATGGGTTTTAACTTAGCTTATTTGGATTTGCTGGGTTTGAGTTTGTGACAATAGCTATTTAAATTTTTTTTTGTTAAATTACTTTTTTATTTATTTGTTAATCTAATGTTTTTTACTGACACAACTACTGTATGATTCTAGTTTAGACTGCATAGGAGTTCACATATATTTTTTTGTATTTTTTTATTGTTAATAATACAGTTTGCAATTTTTTTACTTGTGTATTTTAAAACTATTTTTCTATCACTTCTACTTTCATTTTAATATTTAGAGCTATTGTTCTGTATTTTTATTTACTATTAATGCATTTGGTTGAAGTATTAGTAAACGAGATATATTTAATTTTAGAATTTGAGGTAGGAGCAGGGGTATTTAATATAGGGTTGTATTCATATGGTTGTTGTAAAGTTAATATATTTGAGGTTAAAGTAATTTGTAACTTTGTAGATTTTGTTGGTTCTTTAGTGATATTTATTTGGTTTGTAATTTTTGATAGGTATGTATACWACTTGTGAACTGTGGGTTGTGGTATGCTTTTAGGGGGAGCACTGTTTTTCTTAATGCTGGTTAGTAAATTAAAAGGTCTTTGAATTTTAATAGGTTGTTTTTGTTGGATTTTTTTACTTGTTTAAGGGTTTTTGTCAGAGACAATAGCTTGTTTCTTAATTAGAGTAATTTTCAGTGGTTTTGAATGTCGTGGAGGTGAATTTTAATGGCTGTTTGGGTCTGTTTGGTTTTTATTGAAATAGATTACAGTAAGTTCTATGTTTGGTAAAACTTTATCCGGTTATTATGGGATCGCTGGGGTGAACTGGTTTAAGTGATTGGTAGGTTTTAAATTTTTTTATTAGTGTTTGTAGAGTTTGATTGTGGTTGTTAAGTCATTTTTATGCTTCACTTTTTTATTAGTGTATATACTTTTTTTCTGATAGAAAACTTAGGGATATGTTTTTTAGTATTTTAGAGTACTCATGATTTGTTGTAGCTCCTTTTTTGTCGTGGGAGTAGGTATAGTGTTTAATTTTTTGATTTTTTTTTTGGAATTACAGCTTGGCCTGCTAGTCCACTAGGTGTTTAAGAATTTTACTTCTTTTGAGGGTTTTTGACATTTGGTTAAAGATATTTAAATTCTCTCTTCACTCAATTAATTTTATATATTTTGTGTTGTAAGCTGGACTGCCTTTTTTTTCCACTTTGCATTARCACATCATTATTGTATTGATATACTTGTACTCCTTCTTGTATTTTTATTTGTTGAAGKAATTCAGTTAATGCATTATGAGTAATAGTGGGTRAATGTTTGTATTTTTGAGGWAAATGGTTAAATGTGTATTGTGTTSCTTCCCAAGTGAATGAAAATGTGGGTTTATTTTTTTTTTAATTGGTATTATAAAACCCATGTTTTCTACATCTAACATGGCTATCTACTTGTGAGGGAAGGCTTGCAGTGTGGTGGTGAGATTTGTAATATTTGGGACAGCTGCTGTTAAGAGMTCTGTATTTGTATTTAGTCTTTGATAATTAACTGTTAAGTGCTAGTTCTTGTTTGGTTTTTTTAGAGGCTAGACAGGGGAGTTGAATTAGAGTGTGTTTTAGATTTTTAATTACTTTATTTTTTGTTTGGTTGCAGGGGGGATAGGATATTGTTTGGTGTTAGTTACAGCAGAAACAGGTAAATTGGGGTTATTTTTAGGAGGTTTACTTTTTTATGTTTTTTAAAAAGATTATTATGTGAGGTTTTTGTAGAATTAAAAGACTACATGGTTTTATTTGGTAATTTTTAGGGTTTTCTTTTGGAGGATATCATATCAAGATGTTTTCTTTATGATCGGCAATTGCAAAAGCATGTGCTGTTATCTTTTTTTTTCTAGGTAATTATAAACAGACTTTAGCTGGGTAAGTTGTAGCACTGTTTCTACCAGAGCCAGGTAAACAGAATTTTTTTTTTTCTTTTTAAAACTTAAGTTTAGTTTTGCAGCCTCTGTGAGAGTGATTAAAGAGATATGGGCTTTGGTGTCAATTAGGAATTTTATTGGTTGGTTTTTGGGTCTTACTGGGAGACACAGGTGAGGGTTAATTTTATCAGGAATGTATTGGTATGTATGGATGCGCCCAGAGAGCTGCTCCAAAGGCTTCTCAGCACTTAGCAGTTTCCTGGTGATGTAAAAGGATTGGGATCGATTTTTTTTTTTTCTTGTGAGCTGCTAGCTGCTTTTTCTTTCACTCTTTCTATGGTTTGAATTAGGTTTGYAATTGCACTTTTGGATTGTTTTTGCAGGATAGATTTAGGAATTTTCAGGRYGATAGCATTCTTCTATAATTRATTTTTTTTYCTCTGGGGGTCAGTGTGACTAGATTTTTCTTTTTYCCTCGGATGATTTGTGTTTAACAACTCTCACCCGTCTTTCAGAGGGTTCTCGTGTTTCTGCATTTGGATTATTTTTTTGGGTATTCTAGCTTATTTCTTTGGTATATGTTGTTATTTCATGTGATAGATCCGCCCAAGTCGGGATCGGTCTCTGTGGGGCCTGTGGATTGTGTATTAATGTTTTGTTATATGTTACAYCATTTCTGATTTCATTTCATCTCCCCACCAAGTGATTTTTTAATACGGCTGGGGCTCCTCATATGAGAGRTTTCATTCTTTCAGGATCTACCTCTGCAGAGATCAGCATGTCCCTATCTGGACTGTCGTGCATTGCCTCTATGCAGGCAGCCTTTGTTATTGCAATTGTGACTTCATCTGCTGAATGAATAGGAATTGACSTTGGTTTTCTTYTTTTTATATTATTTACTSCCCCTGCCCAGTRTGCAACTCTGCTGGTTATGGAATGAGGTTTGTTAGGGGGTTGTGGTCCATGGTGCAAAAATACGCCTGCACCCAGAACTYGAAGCTTTTTGTTTTATATAATAATACATCGTCTCCTGCTGTGAGAMAAACTCTCCACAGATATTCTGTTTCYATTTCTCCTGCTTTGTTTTTGTATTTTTCTCAGAAGTTTTTCATTTCCAGGGGATCCTGGGGGGATGTTTTCGTCATGTTACGCCTTCTACAGCCCTGGGGACTTTCTGATATTTCAGTTYTTATTACGGGTTTCATTTGAAATTCTGGAGCTTCTTCCTCTTTAAGAGAGGGAAGTTCTGTGTATTTTTATCAGAAACTGATTTCATGTTTTCATTATAATTTTTATCAGAGCTTTGTCAAATATTATCCCAATCTTCAGGTGATGTTATAAATTTTTAAAWTTTTTTAACATTTATACCTTTGGGGGTATGTAATAATGTTAATTTCAATTTTTCCTCCAACATTTTTGTTTGTTCCTTGGATTTTTTTAGTCTTTGTTTTACCTTATTATATTGGCCTTGCAGGGAGAGTTGTGCAAGTTTTAATCTTTGTATTTCATTCAYTAGTTTATCATTCTTTTTAATCATCTGTTTTCTCCATTCCCAAGCAGAATGCAAACACAGGGCAAGAGCATAACAGATAATTCTCTTTCTTTTTGTATCTTTTAGTGATCCCCATGTTTCATCTATTTTCTCTCTTATTTTTCTCCACTGAAGCTAGTTATCTGTGGGCCAGGGATCATTGGTCTCAATATGAGTACTGTGCCTCCATAGATAATTTGCCAGATCCTTACTCTGAGTTTTCAAATCATTTGCCATTATCTTGCTCACAGCACCAAAATGTTAGGAATGGAGATGGGARCTTAGATAGATTTTTGCCTTTTGACTAGGCTTTTGGCAATCAGCAGTTAGCTTATCAGGGCGAGCAGCATCCCAGGACTCAATTAGTTCGCTAGTTTTTTAATAATAGCCGATTAGGTCTAATCCAAAATAAATTATTGTTTATTAGATACAAGAAAATAACAGAGTAAGGGGTTTGTGGCAAATTATATACTACACAGAAATAAACTACTAGTAGACTAAGTACAGCAGTTTAAAATGTTGATTAAAATAAAACTTAAAATGCAGCAYGCAATAAAGGTATTTGTGAGTTCAGCTAGCAAAGAAATAGTGTAACTTCAGATTCTATGTATATTTTACTCAGACTGTCACCCAGCAATGCAGAGAGATAGGCAACAAAATCTGGCTGCTCTCCACAAAAGAAAAGCATTTGCTCCTCATTCTCTAATTCTACAGGGGAGCAGAGATGTCACTGGGARCTGGTGGTGTTCATACCTGCTTCAGATACATAAGCAAGGGGCTGGAGCTGCCTTCTGGTCCTGCTAACACACAGGATCCATGGAAAATGGTCTAGGGAGGGGCAAAAGCCATTAAATAAAGTCAGCAGCATGTCAATTTGAAAACCACATGGAAGCATTAAAGCTGTGGAGCTCCTTCCTGCAAGATTTTTTAATTGCCTATACAGGGGAAACAGGAGAAAGAAACCAGCAAGAAACCAGCCAGCGTGGCCAGTTCAGGCATGCTCAGCAGTAACACAGAGATCCCCACTGCCATACTAACAGAGCCAGAAGGTGTAGCAAGCACTGGAGAGCCTATCCTAGGTTCAGGAAAACCTTGGAGAGAGCCTGTCCCAGGCACAGGACAGAAGATGCTCTCAGAAAGGCGGGCAGGAGTGATGGAGCACTCACCATGGTCTGCCATCTCCTCGCTCTGTGCAATRTCCATGATGGCAGTTTCCACCTGCCGGTAGACGGGTGGCAGCACTCGCACAACCTCGGGGAARAGCTCCTCATTCTTCACGTGCTCCAAAATAGTGGCCTCGAGCTTTTTGATGTCACGGTGATCCGYGCAGTTGACAGCAACTAAGTTTAAGATCTGGAAAAGAGAAAGCACATACTGACAAAAGCACACCAATAAGAGCTTTTTTAGCCTGCGAGCTAAAGGACAACGAGGTCACCCAGAGTGGGACACAGCACTGGCTCAGCCTCAGAGGGCATTTCTGTCATGCCTTTGCTCTGCAGCAGTTCCTGGTGATCACCTGGTCAACTAAATTAATCCCTCACCCTCCTCCTCAGGCACTTGCTATAAGCCACAGGAGGAGATGCCCATCACCTACCAGGGACATGGACCCTGCAGGTCACAGCCAAGGGTTACCATGTCCACCCCAGCCCAGGTACAATCGCACCAGGGCACCACTTCCAGGAGCACACTGGGCTACCAGAGGCAACAAGGTGACCTCAGCCAGCCAAAACCCAGGATAAYCTCAGCCCTACAGTTAAGGTGCAGCTGTCCATCTCTTTCAGCCTCTCCCACTGGTCCAYGTAAAGCTTGGGCTCCTCACTGCCCTCCAGGTTGTCGATGAAGTGAGCAAGGTTGCTTTTTCTTTCTGCCAGCATGGCTGTGATCCTGGCCATGATGTCACGTGTCTTCTCTGCCACCTCCTGCTCTTGGCAGCAATCCACATGGGTTCCCACAGGAAGCACCACTGAGTYTGGGACCCGCATGGAGAGGTTGTTGATCCAGAAGCCAACGAGCTCCTTGAAAGTTTTGTCATTAGTTTGGTACCTGGGGAGGGAGAAAAAGAAAATCCCAAATTCATATCTGACCCTCTGGATCTCCAGCCAGCTTTCACCAGTGTGGGTCTGACCAGACACTCTGTGCTGTCCCAGGAGCTCACTGGAGAAGAGTTCAGATGTCAGAAGCTGGCATGGACTGTATCCAACTTCATCTTTCAGTTCCCCATCCTTAAGCTATGGGACGTARTGCAGTCAATCCCTGCTGTGGATAGGAGCATCCCTCTGTAGCACCAAACCCAAGGCTGATGTTCTCTCCATGTTCAGGRATCACCACAGGATACAGAAGGGATCATAGGGATTTGCTTTTTGTACAAAACAAGTCCATTTAGATGGGGTTCAGTTGTCACATAAGGAGTTGATGCTTAATCAACCCCTCCAAACAGAGGACTTTGGCAATGTGATGACAGACTGGGCAAACCAAAAGACTGATGTGCAAAAAGGGGGAGAGGGAGTGCCAGATATGCCAATGATGAGAAGACCAGGCCCTCAAGGCCCCATGGAAATGGTGTGAATTTGTGCAGTGCAAAGTTTCCYCAGCTCCTTTTTAGTTTCCCTGCTCTACTCGGAATCCCAACCAGTTCAGCACTTACATGTGAAGATTGATGACAAGGATGACGAGTGCCTGTGGGGTGATGAACACGTGGTGAGTCATGTAGTATTCCAGCTGGCCAGCAAAGTCCCAGAAGAGAAATGTGAAATCCTCGATCTGGAACTCACTRATCTCTATCCCAACCGTTCGCTCCTCCCTGGGAATCAGTCTGGATTGTCCTTGCTTCAAGCTTCTGCAGATGGTGGACTTGCCTGCCAGCGAGGCCCCCAGGAACATGGTCTTGACCCTCTTGTCCTCCTGCCCCAWCCCATGCTGAAGTTGTTTGAAGTAATTCCGGATCTGCCGAATGCCACCAGCACACACTTCAATGGGTGGTTCCCGGAGGGGGTTCCTACCGGCCTTAAACATTTTCAGGGATTGTCCCAGGAAGAGCTCTYTGGGGAGCTGGTGAAGGGCATTATTCTGCACGTGCAACTCCTGTAAGCGTGCCAGCTGCAGGACAGGCTGCGGAAAGGTCTGGAACAGGTTGTTGGAGATGTTGAGGTACTGGAGGCTGCCCTGACAAGCTGCCAAGTCCCGGGGCAGGGCACAGAGACGGTTATTGTTCAGCCGCAAGAATTTAAGCCTGGGGAGAYRGGAGAAAACCCCCTCTGGGATGATCCGGATTTGGTTCTGATTCAGCTCAAGCCTCTCCAAACAGACCAGGCTCTGGATTTCACGGGGAAAGTCCACAATCTCATTCTTGGACAGTATCAGCTTCTTGAGGTTGCAAAGCTTAGAAATGCCGGTGAYGTTCCTGAGCTTGTTCCTGTCGAGGTCAAGGCTCTCCAGCATGGAATTGCTCAGGACTGTGGGTGGGAGCACGCGAAGCCTCTGAGTAGAGAGATCCACTTCACGCAATCCATCCTCCTGCTCCTGACCTGGACCTGGACACATGGTACAGGGAAGGTGGTTACGAGAGACTGTGACCCTTTGGAGTTGCAGACCATTTTTTCTTTTTTTTTTTTTTTTGCATGACTTTGGAATAATTTTGGCCAACAAGGAAGGAGGAGCTGGTTGAACAGTGCAACCACAATTGCTACTTGAATAGCTCTTATGTTCTCTCAACAGAGGAACTGAGGCCGAGGGTCTTGGCTGGGGCTGACGACACAGGAACAGTTCCCATCAGATGTTGACCTACAGCCCAAGTGTCACAGTAACAGACCTGTTCTCCCCCTTTGAGCCCAGCAAGACCTCCAGCCACAGGTGCACCTACCCCAAAATGGGGAGTTTTCTAATGCCAGCAGTGGGCTGGGGGGCAGAGCTGATATCAGGACTCAGCTGCTCCCCAAATAACATGCTCAGCTCACCCTCAGCTCTTGACCACAGCTATGGAGATGCACTGAGGCCAGGGCCAACGAGTTCAGACACTTCTTCTTTCACATCCTCCACCCTCCAGCTGAYGCTGTAATTCCCTGCAGATGCTCCCAGCCTGGGAGACATGAAATAATGAAGGGATGCTGGGGTTCCCTGAAGGACAGGGCACTTAGTGATGGCTAAGCATGTCCCCAAACAGAGGATGTTTAGACTAGAGAGATTCGCAGGTGAGCAGAGCACCAGCAGCATGGGAATCACACACAAGACCAGAGCAAAACACGGTTAGAATTGTTTTCCTCTCCCTTATTTCACTTCCTCACAAGACACCAAGCATGACACCCCATTATGCAATGCACCCTGCTCCAGACTGACTCATCATTTCTCAGCATCACCACTGAAACGTGGGACATGCAACAAGCCCAGCAGGAAAGCAAGCCTTTGCCCTSTCCCAAATGCCCAGTCTCTCCCTCAGGGACAATCCAAAGGACTCCCACCACCACTGAGCCAGRGCAGTGAAGAGCCAGGGCATCTACTCACAGGCTCTGGACTGGGCCATGACCCTGCAGCGTGGCACCAGCTGGATCCTCTGGGCGCTCGCCTCCCCCTTTCGTTTCCTCCTCTGGTGTCGCTCCCGCCTCCCCAGGCTCTGCCGGGGAACCCCACCCTCTCTCTCTCCATCCAACCTCAGAGCAGCTCTCAACAACCCAAGCACCTCTGGCCAGATGGCAGAGCCAGGGCTATGTCCCAAAAGCAGTTCTGGAAGTCACCTATGAGACAAACAGGGTGGGAGAATAGTTGCTGGTGCAGCATTCCCGCTGAAGGAGCTTTTGGCATCACCACAGGAATGAAAAGACACTAACAAGAGGCTATAGATACCAGACTACTGCATGTATTGAATAAAAAAGATTTCTTCCCTTRAACAAGTGGCAGCATCTGATCTAAGAGGATCAACAAGAAAGGGGAAAAAAGAAGCAAGTAGTATACACAGTATACTAGGAAAACTGTTTTCTAGAACATGCCAGAAGAGGCATTTTTAGGTATGTTTTTCATTGCCGCTCCCAGAAGGCAGCTTACAATTTGATAATTTAATTATTTAACTTAATATATTTTAATGGCAGACAGAATGAAAGAACCAGTATTGTTCACATAACTTCAGCAGCAAGCACAGGCAGAAGGTGTAGTTTTCAGKCTCGGTGGTTCTCAGGCAATGGCAGCTGCAGAGGTAACAAATGTAACAGGMCTTACACTGCAGGCGCTCCTACTACACCCTGGAAGAGGCTGTTATCTTTACTGCCAGGGCAAAGCTAACATTAAACACTCAGCAGTGAAACAGCCTGAGGAATGACACAGACTGACACTGTCTTCCTGATAAACAGTGCAGTTGCTTCTATTATTTAGTCCGGCCTTGGTTTTTGACACTACCTACCCTTTTTCACTCATACAGACAGGTTATGGCAGAATTGTTGCTCTGACATATTCAGAGGTGTCCAATTTCCAGACTAAGTGTATGCACAATGCAATCACATTCTCTCAGTTCTTGTGCCATCAGTGTCATCAAAGTTTCTGAATTATTTTGGCAATTATTATCAGTGTTTGCATTTACAACTCCCCACCCATGTTCCAGGTATGTGGTCTAGCTACAAGTTTAGCTTGAAAACCACAGCTTCTCTTCCAGCTTTTCTTCTGCACTCAGTCCTGTGTGTCTCTTCCAAAAATCTTCAAAGCAACTCCAAAGTTATCACTTCCTTATCATCCATCCAGGCTGCACTTCCATAGAGGAAGCATACAAAACCAAGCAAGATTAACTCCAAAAATACTCAGGATTCATCCATAAACACTCCACTAGCACTGTGAATGATGGGAGTGAAGCACTGTGCCAGTCCACACACTACTGGCATATAGGCTTGTTTTGTTTAAATATTAAAAAAAATAAACTCCCCAAACCAGTTCCCGTGGAGGGAAAGCCAGTTTCTGAGTTGTACCTTACTGGTTTTCTCTTCAGTTTCCCTGTGAAACATCTCCTCCCTAGCAGGGTTTAATGAGGAATGAAACAAGTCAGGATCAAGGGTGCTTAATATCATTTAAGGGCCTGTATTTCAGATGGTCACCTAAAAGATCTGCTGCTCTGCAGTACCTGCGGGCAAAGAGTTTTGCTAAAGCAGTTGAGATGGAATCAAGCTCCTTTCATTCTTGACAGCAAAACCAGTTCTCCTGCAGAGGAGGAGGGACAATTACTAATCCAACTCTAATCCTCTTCCACAAACASAGTATTCCTTATGCAAGAGCTAAGTGTGCAGGTTTATATGGAACAGCCAGGGTRAGAAGTAGATGCAAGACAAAGAAATGACACCTGCTATAGGACAAAAACCATTCAAAATAACTTTATAAACTCTGTCACATTTCTGCTTTGTACATCAGTTCAACCTTATCCTTCGGGCTCGTAACTGAAAATCGACAACGCTTGCTTTTTGTTTCACTTTTTCCTGAAAGGCAGACGCAAAACCAGCCATCAGTGCATTATTTACACAAGTGCAACATAATCTCCAACCCCAAAATTAATTGTTTCCACTAACAAGGTACTTCCAACAGAATGTAAATAAACACCACGGCYTGAGCAGTGTTTCTGAAGTCAGTTTATAAAGATTAACCCATTTCTGCAATCCCCAAATGCCAGAGCGAGTAAAACTTCGCTCACCATCCAACGAGCTAAAAATACGACATTTCAAGTATTAAATCAGAAATTTCTAAAGACAATCCATATTTCGATAAATAAACACAAGGGAAACAGTATATAGCTCTCAATATACTGTATGAAAAGTGGTGTCCAGTTTCAAACTTTAGCAAGACAAGTGCACAGCCCAAAAATATGATCAAAGTAACCCTGAAAACGGTAGCAATCCRGGAGTGCCGAACAACCTCTTCTGTGTCTCCCCTTGAATTACTCTGCTGGTCTGAGGCATTTGATTGTTATTTATCTCTACAGCTGTAGGTAAKCCAAAGAAACCCCAAATTCATTCCCATATGGAAACAATTCAAGAGAAGGTTCCGTGTAAGTTCTATTATAATCTTGTTTCTCTGCACTCTGTTTACAAAGGAATGCAGCTGCAAGTCTGTTWTTCCCATGGTGTCCACAGCCAGGATAAGTTCAGTTCAAGTCCTGCTGGCTGTGGCTTGCTCTCAGTTTTCCACTTCACGTGTATCTTCACCATCACTTTTCTTATGTTTCCTCATATGTTTGTATTTTTCCACATATGCCTTCACTAGGTTGGCCACCTTCATAGGGTTGATCTCTCCGCTTTTGCTGTGGCAGATCTGCAGTAGATCAGAAATGGCACTTGGTCAATGACAGCAGCTCAGACAAGGGGGACAGAGGCCCTAAGCATCCAGGGAAGCAATTCATGCACAGACCCCCAAGACTCATAAAGCAGAAAACAAAGACAAGAGGAGTATTTTCCTTCAAGCATTCCAGAAATGGCCCAGAGCTTATCTACGGAGCACCAAATGAATGCAGAGACATCTCAAAGCACAATCATCCCTTTTTACTACAGGTTTTTTCACCCATCCATCCAGTTTTACACAACACGTGGTAACCAAGGAAGTGCTGATATCCCATTTTGGGGATGCTTCTAAGSAAGCAATGCTCAGATTAAAAGAATATGGCAGTTTTGAGAGCCCATTTTGAGACACAGAGAGTACACCCCTACACAAGAACAGACTTATCTCTGTTCAGAGAGGAGTTCACAGTGACTTCAGCAGCTCTCTAGCAAACAACACTTGTGGTTTATTTGGGTCACACAGAAGATGCGGAATTGCAGCTGTTATCTTAGGAATTTTAATTTATGATGGAATTTCTCAGTGATAGCAAGAACGCAGAGCAGGGAGAAAATACAGTTCTCTGAGGTATCAATTAACTGCCTTGACCACAAGAGCATTACTTCTTCTCACGAGACAACATTTACTTGCTGATCAAGCTCTTTTTTAGCCACTATCTAGTCAGCACTAAGATTTGAGACAAAAGTCAGTATCAGCAAAATTGCAAGGCTCTTTTCCAAGGTTCAGGGACCACATATGCTCAAGGACCTAATGCACAAAGTATTTTCTCACTCTATCAGATACACCTAGAACTCTGAATGAAGTGAGGRGGATTTGATCATTCTCACCCAGGGTATGCACCACATACCATTTCAGCTCAGGAAGCTGAAGCTTAGCAATGTTCTTGTCCTTTGAAAGCATAATCTTATAAAAGGAACAGACTGACAGCTCTCATCAATAGCACCAATCAGTCCTGCTTAAAGCAACTCCTGTTTCACCACAGGAGTGCAGAGCATGAGTCAGGGTGCAAAGACCTGCTGCTCAGGTATGACATGTAATTGCTCAAACAGGCAAGTGCAATCCAAAGTACTGCCACTTGTGTAAAGACCTACCCAGCTCCTCCTCTCCAGAAACTCTCCAGAGTTTCTTTCTCTGGGCCCTTACCTTTTGCACTGCTTTCCGAAGGATGCTCTTGTAYTCCTCCTTTGTAATCTCCCTCTTCTGGTAAAAAGGTTTGATGGCAAGTTTCACTTCTTCCACGGCCCTTTCCTGCATGTGAAGCTTCTTCATGTACTGCACATGAAAGAGAACTTCATTACCTTGTGCTGTCTTGGGAATGGTTTCTGAAACCGATTTTCTTAGAAACATTCTTATAATGAAAATTCTCATTTCACAGTTTCAATAACCCAAGTTATCACCTCAAAGTGATTTCCTTTAATGCCAATTCCTTGAAACAAGTGTAAGTTTGCCCTACGAGGAACCTTTGTTTTATGTAACATTCTGTGTCTTAAAGAATGTGTTTCAAGCAAGTGACTACAATGTGGACTTACTAATTTTGGCCTCCTTCTTCCCATTCAACAACTCTGCAGTAAACACACATCCAACAAAAGGCATCAAATTCTAAAAGCAGCAAATCATAACTGCAAATATAAAGCTTTAGATAGMTCTAAAGGCAATCTGAAAATTGCAGAGTTGCCTATGAAGTAATGGTCACAGGTGCCATCAAAACAAGTCCGTAAAAACTGAGGCTCACAAATGGAGGCTCAGTGGGAAATGCATCTTTCTGTTTGGTTTTGTGGTTGGAGGGAAAATAATGGGCTAATAAGTTTTTGTTGTTGTGTTAGATTCCACTGTACCTAGAGCAGATGTTCTGTGCAGCAAACCCAAAACTTAGCAGCAAAGTACTTACACTGAAAAAACTCTCAAGTATTTTACTATTTCTGCATTTTCAGTGCTGATAAGTAACAAGATACAAGTCCTACCTCTCTATAGGACTGTTATGAAAATTGACATTAATTTCAAAGCTGGAGAGAAAATAAGAAAACCTGGTGTTTGGAGAAAATTGGATATTCTGTTCTGAAAAGTGCCTTCCAAATATTCATAAGTTTTAGAATTTTAAGAATGTATTTTAAATGTTTTAATCCCTCCCGTCCTATGGTGACAAAGCAGTAGAAAACAGAATCCACAAATGGAATATATCTCAAATTAATTCAAAGAGAGGACTGCCTGCTTATCCTGGGTTAGCACAGTCAGTCACCAAAACCAGCAGGGCTAAGAAAACACAGTATRGAAAGCTTAAAAATCCCCCAAATGAAAAAGTTCAAATAAACAGCTCATTTATTTTATGCATTCACTCACTTCCTCGTTTTTTGTTTTATCCACTGGAGGTTTGGGTTCTTTGATCTTTTCCTCTGCATTTCCAACAGAAGCAGCTTGGATTCCTGGCTCAGAGGCTGCAGCCAGGCTGCCTGGCTCTGGGGTGAGGCTCTGTCCTGCCACACAGCCAAGAGCTGGAAGACTTCCCTGCATGATGAACTGAACCGTGGGCTGGCTCACTGGGGCATAGGGAGGCAGGCTGGAGGGCAGGGCTGCTGCCAGAGGGATGTTCTGACAGTACACCTGTGAAACAGAACCACTCCGTAAACACTTGTGCTCACAGGACACATCAGATCAGGATTTTCAGAGCACCTTTTATCTACCAGGAGTTACCACCAGCCCCACTCGCCTTTAAACTGGTGGGCAGCACAGACTCATGGCTCAGACCAAGGTTACCAAGCCCATATTTACAGCCTGATCACAGTCAGAGAGAAGCTCAGAGTTTCTCACAGACAGCACCACCTTTCTGCAAGCTACTGCTGAAAATAGAAGCTGCATGTACAGAGCAGAATCAAAAAATAATACATTTCTTCAATTGTAAAAAGCACCAGAGAGATTAAATGATTGGAGGATTGCTGAGGTGTATGGGCTACATGAAATGCATCACACACAGAGAAAGGCCAACTCTGCCATGCGAGGAGGGTGTTGCACAATGAGGGCACAGATGAGATGGGATGCCTTCCATGACACTTGGGTGCTGGAATAGGAACCAACCTGAGAGGAATCTAGATCAGGAAACATAGGCTCRGGAATCATATAACTGGTTGGAGGAGGCTCATTTAACTGCACCTGATTTAACGTTTGGTTCAAGTCCTCTGCTTTCCAGGCCCCTTCTTTTGCTCGCTGAAGTTTGTAAAATGGCATCCCTAGATATCCCAAGTGAAAGAAAAGAAAACATCTGAGAACAAAATAATGTGTCCAGGGTTCAAACTCAATTATATTTTAAAAATTAAAATCAAAAGGATTCAACAATAAAACTAGCTATAAAAGGATTTTTAGCAGTCATTCATATTTTAAAGCTTCTGATAATAGAGAGCTTCTCATCCCCTTGTGCAATTGCTTTTTACTGGGTTTATTTGTTGAAAGTAACCAACAAGAATGACACAAGCAACTCTGTCAACAAACAGCACAGGCTCCCAAGCCAAACTGTTTCTAGCAGCTTTAGTTTAGCAGCAYGCACAGGAGTGAGCCACAGAGACTGTCACACTTCTTGGTTTTCAGAAACATTTATAAATTCTGAAGGCAAAGCAACCATGGTAGTTAAGTGCAGAAAAGGTGGGACATGGGCTGCCAGTTCAGAGATGGGCTTGTTGCAYGCACTTCATGAGCTGCCTCTGGCTGAGCTGTGCTGACAGCACGTCCTCTCCAATTCATTAACACAACTCACCTCATGATTTCAACCAGTGCAAAATGCCAGCTCTCAGGACTGCAACCCACAGCATCACCCCAGCTGACAGAGCTCTTACACTACAACCCAGTTTGGCTACGCACCAAAACCCTAAGCCTTATACAGTCTGTTTCAACTGCTGTTTGTTTTCCAAAACAGACTTACTTGGAGCTTTTCCAGCAGACAACGTGCCRCCTTCTTCCTCTTGA